TGTAATAATTAGAAATATATAATGTAGGTGATTTTTTTTTATACAAAGAACTATCTACTAAATTTATAGGCTGCATACGCGGCATAGTAGACAATGAAATATATAGTTTTCGTATATTAAAAATTGACTGACTGTTGCACTACCATAATCTTCCTAATTGCCAATATACTAGTTTCTGACATACCCGAGGAAATAATAAAGAATTATGGCTTGTCGAAGGGGATTCTGTATTTGTTGATCCCAAAAACATTTCTCAACATGTCAATGTGTGGTTTTCGGATTTACCAGAACCCGATAACTATGATTTCTATATTCAAGAAGTTATATACCATTTTGATGGTCGTTGGAAGTACCATGATATTTCAACAAGATATAGAATATCTTGTGAATCAGTTATGCTTAAAACACCACCACAACCCATGTCTATATATAAGGTGTTTCTTGAAATATACATTGATGATTTTGGAACTTATAGAAACGTTTATTACTCATTGAAAGGAATATATTTACAATTTGGGAATATGCCTTTATCTTTAAGGAAACAACTTAAAAACCATTTTCTGATCGGACTAGTCCCATTTGGTGCTAATCTTAATGATGTTATCTGGCCAATACTTAAGGATATTCAACGTTTAGAAAATGGATTTTTAATGCAAACATTATATGAGAACATATGGGTTGTTGGTGGTCTTGGGTGTGTTATCGCAGATCTGCCTCAAGGCAATGATCTTGCTGGTGTTAAATAACATAATGCTATTCATGGTTGCAGGTCATGCAATATTTCTAGTGATCACCTTACAGATCTAAACTATAATCACATAGCAAATGCCCGTTCTCACTATCAAACCAAAAAACGATTATTAGAAATTGAATGTCAACAAACACAAATAGAGAAGGAACATCTAGCTACTAAATATGGGTTAATAACTTCTCCTGGACCTTTTAGTATCCTCCAATGGGATCAACACATACAGTCTCCACAAGACATATATCATTCTATGGGTGGAAAGGCTCGGACTTTGCTGAATGCTACATTTAATATACTTAACAATGGTGGTAAAAAAGCCTTTATAGAACATTGGAAAACTATTGAAAAACCTAGTAGTTGGAGCAGATTGCTTAATCCAATAAGGCATTGTCAAAGCTTTATGTTTTCTGATGTTTTAAAAATCTCAATGCTGATGTCATTTATACTTAGGCGTTTCTTAAACTCCAATCATATAAAAAAAGAGATTTCATCAACAAAACAAACTAAGCAACTTTGTATACTTTGGGCAGTTGAGGCTAAAGTTCTTAAACTTGCATTTTCAACTACAATGACAGAAAGCACTTATAAAGAATTACAAGATTCACTAAGAAAAGAACATGAGATGCTCATTCAGATTAGTTTTATTGATTCTTAATTATTGCAATTAACTTTACTAATATTTTTGTAGCTGCAAGCTTTTCTTGTAATAATTTAAGAATCAATATCAATATTACCGACCTGTTTTTTACTTATTTGAAGATTAGCTAAAGTAGAGGTGTTGGGTTAGAGTTATTTTTTTGATGCCAATAGTTACCTTACATTTGGTTGTTCGATGTAAAAAATGAGTCAATAATATTGGTCTGATAATATTGGTCTATTTTAGGTATCTGATCAAAATCAGTGTTAGTATTAGGTTTTATATAATTAGGAAATTATAGTCAGATGCAGCTTTAAGTGCCTAAAGTAACAACTTCAGGCAACAGGAGAAACCATGCAATATATAAAAAAATCAATTTACAATTTAGATCATTCTGCTAGGACATGTTATGATTATAATCCACTATGTTTATTATAATAAAATAGTATTGGATTATAATCATAAAATGTACTAGCGGAATGATCTGATTATACGTATATAGAAAACTTGCAACTATAAGAGTACTAGCAAAGTTAATTGCCAATGCCAGTGCAATGTATTATTACCCATAACACATTTCTAGTTAATATGAGATTAGGCGTAATGTAAAGTTTAAAATTTAAACCTGATTTCTTGTAACAAAAAAATTTTTATTTAATAAAATTTTTTTATTAATTTTCTTTATTACTCATTATAAATGATTTTTTTATACATATATAATAAAAAAAAATGTTAATCTGGTTAAATTTTTACCAAAAATAGATATTTCCGGAATATTTTACCAACCTACCTAACCTGCATGTTAATGTTTATTTGTTACAAAATGCACAAAATTTTGCAACATTAAGAAACACCGCGGTTGGTATTAAGGAAATGGTTCACCACATCTTCAAAGGCATAGTTCCACATACAAAAAAAAAATTATCGAACTGGACCTTATACAGTGATATAATACAATAGAAGCATTAAGGCTTATTATTGATGGTTGGAAAGATCTTTAGTTTAGTATTAATACTAATGCACTCTCCGACCTCATCAAGAACCCACTTCTTTATAAAGTTTTCTCCAATTGGTATGCTATTAAAAGCCCATTATTGTATTCACTAAATGAAGAAAATAAAAGTCATGATAAGTAAATTTAAGTTTTTACTATATGATCTTAAAATAATGGGATGAGCATTATAGTAAAATCTTCATGAGTGCACTCTTTCTAAATGCACATCCAAATTTTAGCTAAAATATATTCATGACCTTCACAAATGCGCTTTTTCTTATTGTTTTCTAAATGCATGTTGTTGGTCCTGTATCTCGAAAATTAGATATTTTAAAACCTGCACGTTTGGTAAAAATTGGTCAGTTTCAAATAATATTCCTTATGCAGCACTCAAAAACAAAATTTTGTGCACATTTTTTTTAGCAACATTTACAAATTGTGCGATATCTGCATAAGTTTTATTTGAATCAATACTACTTGCAGGTATTTCAAAATAATGCTCACCTCAAGCACCTTAACATTGTCATGCTTGAATTTAGCATTCGCCTA